TAACTTCCGGGTAATGTTTTATAGAGGTTTTAATATATATTTAACCTCACCTTAAAGGGTTAACCCTATTATGTGGTAGCCTGGAGCATAGCAAAAAACTCCAGAAATAAAGAAAATTATGCAACCTCCTTGTTTATAAACAAGTAGGTTGCAATTGTGCATTTTTGGGGGTATTTAGTGTATAAACAATTTTTATTAGGAAAAAGACAAATTTTAATTTAATTATTATAATTTTTTTTAAAATATGCTAATAAATGCATTTTATTATTAGTTCTTCTTTTTTTTAGCCAATTACTGATATATCAGATAACTTCATCTTCCTTTTAAAAAAATATTCTTACTGAAAATTTTGTATTTATTTTTTTTTATATAATTTATCCAGATTTAAAAGGGTAATGGTTTTTTTTTTCGATTCATGGTTTGAAAATATAAATTAATTACTAACTTACATATAAGAGCTATACAAGGAGGCATTAGTAAATTCATTTAATCATTACCAAACTGTTTTAAATTCCTTATCATGTTATCTCTCCCTCCCTCAAAATCAGAGTTTTTTTTATGGTTTAGATTTTAAAATATCTTAAATAGCTATAAATGGAAGGGAAACCTATTTTATAGTAGCAATGTAATTATTCGTTACTGTATTCGTCATTTTTTCCCATAATCTTAAATCCAGCTTCATAAGCCTGAAAAGATACGTTTTATTTCTCTAACAGTCGATTTAAGTATAGTACCGCTCCCGATTTGCCGAATATTAAAATGACCTAGTTATAAATTGCTTAATTTTCGAAATTGGCGCATGAGTAACAGATATCTATTTTTTAATGGTATAACCATCTCGAAATGCTAATAACACTTTTATAAAACATGTGTTATCAAACAAAAATTATTATAAAGAGGAGTTTTTTTTTAGTAGAGACAAATTAAATCAGCCTATCATCCGTGGTCGGGTTTTTGTCGCTTACTTAAAATAATCTTGTCTTTACACATGTCACGATGTTATACCGATATTCCCGAAGCATTTATGCACTAAAAAAATTAGCTGACATTCTGGTGCCAATCCTGAAATAGACACGTAAATGGCCTTGTCATTTTAATATATATGGCAAAGATTAGCGGCGCAGACCTAATTTAAATTAACGATATCGGTCTTCAGTGCTGCTACCACGTTTCGCGTATTGTTGGCGAGGTCAGCATCTTGTTTAGATATATATTTCCCACCTCTTTTGCGACGTAAGATTGACAAAATCGTTATTTCTAAAAAATGCTAACTCATACAAGGTACATCTTCTACGAATGATACATATCAATTTTTGACAGTTATACTATATATATATGAAACGTAAACTATCTCAATGAAAAAATTTAAAGATATGATATCTCCGCACAAGAAAAATATTATTTTTATGTTGCTTCAAATTCATAAAAATGGAAATATCGCTTCTGCCCCGTTTTCTTTTTTTTATCTATCCTCAATATTAAATTTCCCTGAAGAAAAAATGGATTGGTGATTATCTACACCAGGATCATCATGGGCATAAATTTCGGCATCTGCTTCTTATTGTCCTGTATTTATTTTTTGCATCATTATAGTGCGCACAAATTGAGCGTTTGCGTTTTGCCGTACTTTTTTTAATAAAAAAAAACGTAACGCTTGCTCTGTTTAAATTGAGGTGGCGTTTTTAAATTATTTATTAAAAAATGGAATTTATTAGCACAGATCAGGAAAAGATGGTAGCATTATGTTTTTTGTTAAAACATAAAAAAAGGAGGAAGAGTAGAGGTAAAACATCGCAAATATTTATTAAAAGACAATTATTTTCTGATTATTTTACACTGAAAGGTGGCTTAACAACATCTCAGTTCTTTAATTTTACAAGAATGAAGAGAACTACATTCAATCATATTCTTAATTTGATATTTAATGACATCAATCCTAGAACTACTAACTGCAATAAGCAAGTAGATGCAGAGGATAGGCTATTCCTCACCTTACAGTGCGCACAAATTGAGCGTTTCAAACGCTGCGTTGCAAACGCAACTAATGCATTTCGAATGCATTCGTTTAAATTGCGCACTTTTACTTTTTTCAATCGCGCCAATTTTAAAAAACGCAATCTGGTTTGCTTTTTTTTGTGGTGACTTTTTTTCTAAAACAAAAATTTTGAAATGATGGAAAATCCCTTCTAAAATGTAAGATTAAATATTAATATATAAATTTATATTTTTAAAAATGAACTAATTCAATATAAACTTAATTAATAATAAAAATATAGAGCATGGGATGACAATATGACTAAGAAAATTTCTTAGCTACTTAGAAATGGAAGAGATGATATGGAACCAAAAACATCAAGATCATAAAAAGACCATGCTTGTGATGGAGCATTTAACTAAAATCGGGTCTAGGTATAATATAAATATGTATGCTCACATTTTTATAAGGTTAGAAGAAGAATTTCCTGACTATGATACATTATTCCTGTGTTTGAAGAAGAAGATCAAGAATTATAAAGACCAGCTTAATAAAGTTAAGCTGGCGAAAAAAAGCGGGTCAGAAGCCTCGAAATCTTCTTGTAAATGGTTGGAGCATATAAAATTTATGGAGCCAACCATTGCTGATAGGCCAACAACAAGTAATTTTGATACTAGTGAGAGTATCAAAAAGATTTCATCCCCTAGCCAAAAATTGGATGAAAGGTTGTTGGAACTTTTAAATAAGAAACCTTCTTCAAATATGTAAAATTTATTATTATCTTTAAAAGCTTATATCTTATCTAGGTTGTTTCTACAATCATTGGAAGGAAATCTTGATTCTCTTGATATACATAGGCAGTATCTTTTTAAATCTGAGGTACTGAAATTCATGTATTCCCTACAAATAAATCATATAAAACCAATGGAGCAAATGGTGGACAATAATGAAACTGCCCTTGATATTTTTAATAGCATCATAGATTGAATTATTTGTATATATATATTATTTGTATGTATATATATTATTTGTATATATATATTATTTGTATGTATATATATTATTTGTATATATATATTATTTGTATGTATATATATTATTTGTATATATATATTATTTGTATGTATATATATTATTTGTATATATATTTTTATAAATATTATGATATTGTATTATTATTTAAAATAAATATTCATAAAGTTTTTATTTATTAAAATAGTGTCCTAATTTATTAATAAAGATTGAAAAATTAGATTTAAATTCTATTTTATATTAATAATAACAATCAATTTCATATTTGATATAATTAAATGATATGAAAAAATAATTAAGATTTTAAAAAATTTTTAAATTTGTCTCTTAAAATTCTAGATTCAATTGTTGAAGAATTGTTTTGTCTATCTTTGCTGATGGGGAGTGGTCTAGTGGTCAGATTGGGAATTGTATATTTTATATATAATGAAAATTAGATTTATTAAAATATGTATTAATAAATAACTCATTAAATATTCATTTTTTTATTAAATTTTTTGTCAAATAAATTCTGTGATTTAAGATTTAAAAATTTAAACACAATTTTTATTATGTAAATATATTTATTAGGTAATATTCTAAATAATAACAATCAATTTCATATTTGATATAATTAACAATGATATATGAAAAAATAATTAAGAGTTTAAAAAATTTTTAAATTTGTCTCTTAAAATTTTAGATTCAATTGTTGAAGAATTGTTTTGTCTGTCTTTGCTGATGGGGAGGGGTCTAGTGGTCAGATTAGGCATTGTATCTTTTAAATGTAATGAAAATAAAATACTACAATATTTGTTGTACCTATGTCATCAACTTCAGCACCTATTCCTTCATTGATTATTATTATATTATGCACAAGGCATATAGTCTTGATAATAATTTATATATGCTCCAAACTAACTTCTAGCTGAGAATTTCAATTTTTTTTACAATGCCTCCAAAGCTTTGTTCAACACTAACCTGAGAATTTTTTTTTAAATATAATTGATTTAATGAGTTAAAATTAATTTTAATCTAACCTCTATACAGGGAGCTAATTTATAAACACTCCCCCATCACTCTGCTTTCCATAGGCCCCAACATCAATATATAGGAATTTCCTATTTATGTCTGTTAAGGCTAACAAAACTAAAGTAAATCTATGTTTATAACAAAAATATTGAGATCCACTATTTGGAGGACATTTTATATAGATATGTTTTCCATCCAAGGCACCAAAACAATTGGGAAACCCTGAATGAAGCAGGAAATCTTGTGAAATCTAAATAATTATATATTAAATTAGAATATATAAATTTAAGGTACTCTTTCCCAATCCTTTCTTGAAGGTTTTGGCATGTAAATATCTTTTGCTGCATTCCAAATTGCCCTGCATACTGATAAAACTATATATGCAACACATGATTTTGATATCCTTGAACTGTATGATAGTTGTGAAAATGACATACCAGTTATCAAATATCTTTTATGAATAAATATAGGATAATTAAATAATTATTACCTTAAGGTGAGGAATAGCCTATCCTCTGCGTATACTTGCTTATTGCAGTTAGTAGTTTTAGGATTGATGTCATTAAATATCAAATTAAGAATATGATAGAATGTAGTTCTCTTCATTCTTGTATAATTAAAGAACTGAGATGTTGTTAAGTCACCTTTCAGTGTAACATACTCAGAAAATAATTGTCTTTTAATAAATATTTGCCATGTTTTACCTCTACTTTTCCTCCTTTTTTTATGTTTTAACAATAAACATAATGCTACCACCTTTTCCTAATCTGTGCTAATAAATTCCATTTTTTAATAAATAATTTAAAAACGCCACCTCAATTTAAACAGAGCAAGCGTTACGTTTTTTTTATTAAAAAAAGTACGGCAAAACGCAAACGCTCAATTTGTGCGCACTAAATAATTATTTAATTATCTTATATTTATTCATAAAAGATATTTGATAACTGGTATGTCATTTTCACAACTATCATACAGTTCAAGGATATCAAAATCATGTGTTGCATATATAGTTTTATCAGTATGCAGGGCAATTTGGAATGCAGCAAAAGATATTTACATGCCAAAACCTTCAAGAAAGGATTGGGAAAGAGTACCTTAAATTTATATATTCTAATTTAATATATAATTATTTAGATTTCACAAGATTTCCTGCTTCATTCAGGGTTTCCCAATTGTTTTGGTGCCTTGGATGGAAAACATATCTATATAAAATGTCCTCCAAATAGTGGATCTCAATATTTTTGTTATAAACATAGATTTACTTTAGTTTTGTTAGCCTTAACTGACATAAATAGAAAATTTCTATATATTGATGTTGGGGCCTATGGAAAGCAGAGTGATGGGGGAGTGTTTAAAATTAGCTCCCTGTATAGAGGTTAGATTAAAATTAATTTTAACTCATTAAATCAATTATATTTAAAAAAAAATTGCAGAAATTGTTAACCAGACTCTTGATCTACCACCTGCCAAACCTTTTCCTGGCCTTAGTGAAAATATGCCTTATGTAATGGTAGCAGACGACGCGTTTCCACTGTCACATTATTTGATGAAACCCTATCCTAAAAAAGGTCTATCTATAAAGGAAAGAGAATATAATATGAGATTGCGTTTTTTAAAATTGGCGCGATTGGAAAAAGTAAAAGTGCGCAATTTAAACGAATGCATTAATTGCGTTTGAAACGCTCAATTTGTGCGCACTATTAGCCTTTTAAATAAAATAAAACCTCTAAAAGGGAATGATGATGGTATATCGTTCCATGAAGTCCTCCAGGACTTATTTTTCAACAATTCCCTGGTACGTTTTCACCTAGAGGGAGAATAATTAAGACGATTTTTCCTTTGTCTCTTTGGGATAGTTTTACTTTTGTTAATATCATATTGTATGCTGTCCAATGACGTATGATAATACCTAGACCGACGACGCATTCGTTAAAAGTGTGACATCGATGAGAAGCAGCAGGAAACGCTATTTTTGTTCCTTAATCATTATGTTAATTTTTTTAAACGAGTGGCTAATTTATTTCCTATGTTTGACGCGAACTTTATTTAAAAAAATCGTCTGATCATCGAGATAATAAGGAGGCAAGTTTTCAATTTTAATAGTAGTTTTTTAACACGAGAATAAATGCTTATATGGGTTACCAAAATGGCTAGTCCAGCTGATTTGCATTCAACGACGCTTTCAAAATGCATTATATGAATGCATCTTCAGTCTATCTAGGTATTATTATTATTATATGTCATTGATGCTATCATAATTTTTAGCAACATCAATCGTAGAAGGATAGTTCCTTGTATGTTTTGGTATTTTTAACTAAGATTCCCCCCCCCCCCCAACTAATGTTGTTAAAGAGATTGGAAATATTTATCCAAAATAAAACGATATCCTCACACTGCCCTGTTTGTTAGAACGTGGTTAGCAGAGTAATGCGGGAGAGCCTAAGACTATGGCGATGCCATTAAGCTTAACCCATTCCTCCTCTAGGTAATTTTGATTTGAAATACGTTGTTAGATAAACGTATCTTTTCTGGTTGTCGAAGTTTAGGCTTGCACTAAGGTACAATCGTTAATAATTTGATTATGCTACCCAAATAAGGCTTATTAGTTATTTTTTTTTTAGATAATTTTAAAGTGCGTTCCTACTAAAAACTTTAATCCAGAACAAAAAAAACATGTTAATGAGAATTTAAAACGCTTTAGGTGATGCCAAAATGAATTTATTAAGCCATTAGTTACTCCCAAGTTTCTCAAAATAGTTTATGTAAGCGATTTATGAATAATTGTAAAATTATGCACCATATATGGTTAAACTTTTGAAATTCAAATATTCAAAGAAACTATTTTTGGCGGGATTTTTTTCTTGGCGCATAATATCCCCTGTCACATTTAAAACATATTTTCTATATTTTTTTATAAATTTGAATATTTAAAATTTTATTTATTATGATTATTTTTTAGAACCTAGCAATTTAACTGGTCATACTAATCTATTATCCTATTATGGGTTAGAAGAATATTACAGAAAAATGACAAGGAAAAAATTGATTGACAAGCTTGACGAGTACGAGGATTTGTTAGGTGAAAATCTCAATATACCCGGATACGTTGATAATAGGTAATGAAATAGTAAATTAATAAATTTTTATTTTTTACCGATGATTATGCTTTGAATTTAGTAAATAAAACTTTTAATTCTTCAAAATAAAAAAAAAATTCTTTTTCTTGTGGATGCATATAATCATTGTTTATATTTTGATACAATATGTTCATATAATATATAGAATGTTTATTTAAAATTAAAACAAAAAAAAATGTTAATATACCAATTTAAAAGATATATATTAGCTTAGTCATATATAATTGTTTATTTTTTCTTACTGTTCTGAGTAGTGTTGTTAAACGGCCGGGTTTGAGCCGATTATTAAAAACGGCTAACTCAATATTTTTAGCCAGAAAATTTTGCCTAAACCTCGAGATTTCGCTAATAGATGCCCAAACCTTTGTTCCTTCTACAAACAAAATCTTCAGGCTTGAACCGTTTAACAACACTAGTACTGAGGCGATAATTTGTTATATATGGTAAATTCTATATCTTCAAATCAACAAAAAAAAAGTCGATTTTCAACCCGACCCCCTTCAATTTTTCTTAAATTTTGTATACTGGTATATACTATAACTAAGAAAAAAAATGAAATTTTACCTTCCAACAATGTTTACACGCTAAGATATGGCCGTTTAAAGCGCGGTAAAATGGTACATTTTTGACAAAATGCACCTCATTTATTTTCAAATATCTCGAGTAATAATTATGTTAGAAAAATAATTTAAATTTTATTTTGTAGCTTAATAAAAGTTCTTTAAAATGACATAAAATAAATTATAATAGAAATATTATTAATATCGATGACCGGATGTATCAAACCGGAAATGGCCATAAAAAAAGGTATTTTTTTCAAAATTTTTTTCCTGTAGATAGATATTACACTGCTTTATATTTGTGCCAAATCCTAGATTGGGATGAAAATGGGTCTAGGAGTTATGACCCTTTATATGGCTTAAATTGATCAAATTTAACATAATATCTTCATTTAATGAATACTTATGAAATGTTTATTTAAAAATTATGTCTAAATGATAGGCCCTTACTTTTTTTATCTTTAAGAAAACTTTTAGGAAGTGGCTGGGATATTTATTTAATACTCAAGTAATATTGTAACTAGAAATTACTTGACAAAATAATTCTAAACATATTTATAACTTTATTTGTCTGAAATAAATTCACAATCAATTGTAGTTTTCGTAACCCCTAATGTGTTAGCTCTTTTTACTTCTTTAAAATCATAATCATAATTTTCTTTTATATTAAACAAACATAAATTCTCCGAATCGATAATAAAATAATATTATATTATTGGGAAAAAGAAACTAAATTCTCAGAATCGATAATAAAATCATATTATATTATTGGGGAAAAGAAACTAATTCTCAAAATCGATAATATTATTAAACGAAAAAAATAATAAATTCATATTATATTATTGGGGAAAAAACTAATTCTCAAAATCGAAAATATTATTAAACGAAAAAAATAATAAATTCATATTATATTATTGGAGGAAACTAAATTCTCAGAATAATAATAATTCTTAAAAAAATAAAATAATAAAAATTATCAATCCAATTTAAAATAACAAATATCTTATTAATTTCACAATTATTTAACTTAATGAACACAATTAATTTGTATTGCTCCAATCCTTTCAACTATAAAAACATTCCACTCGTAAAGACCTGAGAAATGTCTTGCAATGGATGATAGAAAAAAACCAGTCGTTAGCACTAAAAGATAAAATTTACAGTGGATGCAAAAAAAAATTAAAAAATATATCCACGGAACATGACTTACCATTACCATCTATTTCCACAATTCCCGAACAATACATTGATAGAGATGTTTCTATAGAAGTTTTAAATGAGATATTACCGTTTTTAGATGAGACTCCTATTAAAAAGAAGCGAATTAGTGAAAAAAAATATTCTACAAAAAAATATATTAAAATTTAGAAAAAGATTAAAAAGGATATTTTTAGTATAAATTCAGAGTCAGATCAAGTTGAAAAATATGAATCTGAAATCATAAATTAATTGAAAGGAAAATTTTTAATAACAACTTCTCGCAGCGAAAAAATATTAATTTTAACAATTTTACCAAAATCATGGACGTTAAAAAAATTGAAGAAGAATTTTCCACAACAAATTTTATGACCAGAACAGCCAATCATATTAAGCCAAGTCGTATTATTTCAGAAGATATTATGGAGATGGTAAAAAAATCTTATAATTCTGAAGAAAATAGTCGGCTTATGCCAGGCAAAAATAATTTTATATCAATTAAAGTAAATGGGAAAAAGGATCAAGTCCAGAAATGGCTAATTTTATGTAATATTAAAGAACTTTTCATTCACTTTAGAGAGACTCATAACGATATACAGCTAGGTCTGAGTAGATTAGCTTTCTTCAGGAGGTCTAGGTACACATACCATGTGTATCTGCACATTACATCAAAATTTTAAACTTATTTTAATAGGTGGAATATTTTTCGCTGCGAGAAGTTGTTATTAAAATTTTTTCTTTTTTGAATTGATTTATGATTTCAGATCCATATTTTTCAACTTGATCTCACTCTGAATTTATACTAAAAATATTCTTTTTAATCTTTTTCTAAATTTTAATAAATTTTTTTGTAGAATATTTTTTTTCACTAATTCGCTTCTTTTTAATAGGAGTCTCATCTAAAAACGGTAATATCTCATTTAAAACTTCTATAGAAACATCTCTATCAATGTATTGTTCGGGAATTGTGGAAATAGATGGTAATGGTAAGTCATGTTCCGTGGATATATTTTTTAATTTTTTTTGGCATCCCTTGCAAATTTTATCTTTTAATGTTAACGACTGGTTTTTTTCTATCATCCATTGCAAGACATTTCTCAGGTCTTTACGAGTGGAATGTTTTTATAGTTGAAAGGATTGGAGCAATACAAATTAATTGTGTTCATTAAGTTAAATAATTGTGAAATTAATAAAATATTTGTATTATTTTTTTCGTTGAATAATATTATCGATTTTGAGAATTAGTTTCTTTTCCCCAAAATATAATATGATTTTATTATCGATTCTGAGAATTTAGTTTCTTTTTCCCAATAACATAATTTTATTATCGATTCGGATAATTTATGTTTGTTTAATATAATAGAAAATTATGATTATGATTTTAAAGAAGTAAAAAGAGCTAACACATTAGGGGTTACGAAAACTACAATTGATTGTGAATTTATTTCAGACAAATAAAGTTATAAATATGTTTAGAATTATTTTGTCAAGTAATTTCTAGTTACAATATTACTTGAGCATTAAATAAATATCCTAGCCACTTCCTAAAAGTTTTCTCAAAGATAAAAAAAGTAAGGGCCTATCATTTAGACATAATTTTTAAATAAACATTTCATAAGTATTCATTGAATGAAGATATTATGTTAAATTTGATCAATTTAAGCCATATAAAGGGTCATAACTCCTAGACCCATTTTCATCCCAATCTAGGATTTGGCACAAATATAAAGCAGTGTAATATCTATCTACAGGAAAAAAATTTGAAAAAAATACCCTTTTTTATGGCCATTTCCGGTTTGATACATCCGGTCATCGATATTAATAATATTTCTATTATAATTTATTTTATGTCATTTTAAAGAACTTTTATTAAGCTACAAAATAAAATTTAAATTATTTTTCTAACATAATTATTTCTCGAGATATTTGAAAATAAATGAGGTGCATTTTGTCAAAAATGTACCATTTTACCGCGCTTTAAACGGCCATATCTTAGCGTGTAAACATTGTTGGAAGGTAAAATTTCATTTTTTTTCTTAGTTATAGTATATGCCAGTATACAAAATTTAAGAAAAATTGAAGGGGTCGGGTTGAAAATCGACTTTTTTTTGTTGATTTGAAGATATAGAATTTACCATATATAACAAATTATCGCCTCAGTACTAGTGTTGTTAAACGGTTCAAGCCTGAAGATTTTGTTTGTAGAAGGAACAGAGGTTTGGGCATCTATTAGCGAAATCTCGAGGTTTAGGCAAAATTTTCTGGCTAAAAATATTGAGTTAGCCGTTTTTAATAATCGGCTCAAACCCGGCCGTTTAACAACACTACTCAGAACAGTAAGAAAAAATAAACAATTATATATGAATAAGCTAATATATATCTTTTAAATTGGTATATTAACATTTTTTTTCGTTTTAATTTAAATAAACATTCTATATATTATATGAACATATTGTATCAAAATATACACAATTATTATATGCATCCACAAGAAAAAGAATTTTTTTTTTATTTTGAAGAATTAAAAGTTTTATTTACTAAATTCACATTTCATAAGTATTCATTAAATGAAGATTATGTTAAATTTGATCAATTTAAGCCATATAAAGGGTCATAACTCCTAGACCCATTTTCATCCCAATCTAGGATTGGGCACAAATATAAAGCAGTATTATATCTATCTACAGGAAAAATTTTTTGAAAAAATACCTTTTTTTATGGCCATTTCCGGTTTTATACATCCGGTCATCGATATTAATAATATTTCTATTAGAATTATTTTTATGTCATTTTAAAGAACTTTTATTAAGCTACAAAATAAAATTTAAATTATTTTTCGAGATATTTGTCATTTTGTCAAAAATGTACCATTTTTCCGCGCTTTAAACGGCCATATCTTAGCGTGTAAACATTGTTGGAAGGTAAAATTTCCTTTTTTTTCTTAGTTATAGTATATACTACCAGTATGCAAAATTTAAGAAAAATTGAAAGGGGTCGGGTTGAAACCTTGGTTGATATGATATGGAATTCACTATATATATAAGAAAACGTAAAATTTTATTATGGATCATCATTATTGTTTGTTATTACTTAAATAAACATCTTTAATTCTTGTCCGATTACTTTAACCCCTACACACTGACACTATTCTAATTCTGATCTAAATCCCCTACATTCATAATTTACTGAGTGTAAAACAATATCTATAACTACATACGAAATTTCATCCTTCTAATAATAATAATCTAAATCGACATTTATTTTCATGATTATATAACCTGCTGAATAGTAATCTATTATTTAAGGCTAAAATTCACCTTGATTTTATTAAAACTAACATTTAATCAATATATATGAAACAAAAAAGCTCTTTGAAATTCCTGATAGATCACCCGCCTATTTGCGGCAAAGAAATAAGAACCCTATCTAGCTCAGCCTTTGCGGGTTTTCGGTTAAACCCCGGTACTTTACCCCTTCAATACCAAACCCTCGCCAAGAAGGCGGCAAACATAAACAAATCCACTCACCAAAACTATTCCGCATATTCGTCACAAACCTATTCCGCTTTGGATCATCAACCCTTTGTCAAACTCATGAGTGGCGAAAAAGGTGATTTTCACAAAATTTGTTTAAATCTTGAATTACCATTCTTATAATCATCTTAAGACTAATTGTTACATATTTAGAGACTGCCACAGTGGATTACTATATAATAAGATTAATTTTATCTTTAAATTCGAAGCAATAACCATAATTTTTATTAATGATAAACTCGGTCAGCTATTAAAATAGCCCTTATAACTAAAAAATTCTTCATTAATATTTTTTATATTGATAATACCAAATAAATTACATGGCTTGTTCCATTCCATGTCTATCTATTAGAGATCTTTTGGCTCAAACCACCCTATCATGGCCTACCCCAGTCCGTAAAATTATATTAAGTTGGCAAACTTGGTCCTGTAAAAAAAAATCAAAAAATATTTCGCCATTATATAATATTCATTTTTATGTACAATCTTCAACGATCACTCATTAAATAATTTTTATTTTATTGATAGGAGTTAATTAATGTAATGCTTAAAGGCGATTTTGGACGCTATGATTTTTTAGCGATAAATATAAAGAATTGTGTTTTAATACAAAACTGTTTATTTTTTGTTTTAAAAATAAGCGCGGTTTAAATAATATAAAAAACGCAAACTTCTTGTAAAACGTTTATCAACATGGGAGGATAAGTGTAATTTCAGAATAAGCCGAACCTTTCGTTCATCTTTTGATAAGATTTCAAAGTTTAGGTGATATTTTTTTAGTTAAAATCTTGGTTTAGCCCTCCTTGCACCGTAAATCATTTTTTTTAGTTAAAATCTTGGTTTAGCCCTCCTTGCACCGTAAATCATTTTTTTTAGTTAAAATCTTGGTTTAGCCCTCCTTGCACCGTAAATCATTTTATTTTTAAAACCCCAAAATAAAGCCCTTCCTATATTTTATTTGTATGATTTAGATCCGCTGGGCACACACACAGATCAAAGCCATGAACCCGAATTATTGCCACAGAGGCGAAAAATCGAACACAAGGACAGGAAAAAAATTAAGAAAGCAAAATTAGATAATTGAATCGTTCAATAGAAATCGTATATATATAATATATATTATTGTGCATTGATTATGATGTTTATATCAAATAGCTTGTGTAATTTTTCTATGTATAAAATTACAATTTATATTCGCCAAAATATTTATAGTTTGATTCAAATTCGCGGTTATTTATTTTAAAAATATTTTTCATTATAATTCACACACATAATATTTAGATTTTTCTTATACTAATTTCTTAGGTTCTTTGGGGGGGGGGGGGGGACTATAATATACATATTTTTTTGCAATGTATAAAAATAAATAAATAATAATATATAGTTTAATATTTTTTGGGGGATAAAAGGTCCAGAGAATGTCGATCATTCTTCCTTTTTCAAACTCGATTCGATTTGTCTTCGGAATTGAAAAAACTCATTTTGAAGGTAATCTGTTATCCGCTTACGCATTTCGACCTAGAAAAAAAATAAAAAGATTTATTTAGCCGGAAAAGAATAAAAAAATAATTCGACCCGGTTTCAAAACCCGCTCGGCCGGCCCGACCTTGATTTTTGAAAAAAAATAATATTTTGTATTGCGGATTCAACGGAAGAGCGAATTTTTAAAAACTCCCCCCTTTTCCCGCTCTGGAGGAAAAAAATCGTATTATTTATTAATATAATAAAATTTTGCGGCAAGTTCATGACAGGGCCAACAAAATTTCAAACAATTTTACGTTATTAAAATTTTTATACAAGTGACCGCTAAAATGGCTATGATTGATGTTTAAGATTCACATTTTTTTAAAATAATATTTATAATTCAAAAATCCGAGTCGATTTTTAATATTTTTTTTATAAAAAAATGGATTGTTGTAAATAAACCAAAATAATGGAGCTACTCTTTGAAAATCAATGACCTACGATACATTCATCAAAAGCATACATCAAAAAAAAAACAGCTGACGCCATTTTGGATACCCATTTTTTTTAAAATAACATATTTTCAAATAAAATAAAATCTGGATGGTAAAATTAGGATAATATAATATTTGTTGTTTTAATTTTTAAAAAAAAGTTAGAAAAATATAGTAGTTTAGTTAATATGAGAATAATCATTACAAAGGGGTTACAAAAATGGCGGGTTCAGCTGATTTGCATTCAACGACGCTTTCAAAAGCAATTATTATGAATGCATCGTCACTCTAGGTATTATTATATATCATTGTTGAGATATTCGTTCCCATTTGCGATAAATTATAAAATCAGGAAGAGTGTCCAGGTTTTGTCGTATCCAAGCAAGGTTGAAAATGCCAGATTAAGCGATTTTAGCCAAAATAGTATTATGAAAGCCCTGGATATTTTGCTCAAAGATGACAGAAAGTTTTGGGAACCTCAATTTTCCCAAATATCTCGGAGCTTTCACAATATTTATTATGACGAAAATCTTAATCGGGTCCATTTTTTGGGCATGCATCCGTGCAATAATGAATAATATAAGTTTCATAAAAGCTAAAATTTAGTTAGATTTTTGGTTTTGGCACTATTCTTATAAAATATATTCGTCCCATCGGCAAATAAATTTTAAATGTCAAAATTCGAGTCCAGGGAGAGTGTCAGTTCGGTCAGCAGGGATAAATATAAGTTAAAATTTTTTTTAGCGTAATCGAAACCCAATTATATATACCAAATTTGTAAGCAATATTCATTTTTTTTAAAAAAAAATAAAAATAATATTTAACCGGCGAAATTTTCGTGGATTTTAATTGATTGAGCAGATCGGTGAGGTTTATAGGATTACCAATAAATACATTTACTTTCTAAAAATAAATTTACATTTAATTATTTATAGAGATACATATGACATAATATTTAATCAGCACTTTAAACGATAGTTTATAAAGTAGCGCGTTACATTTCTGATTACATTGCTATAAAACATAAAATTTTCTTTATTTGTTTTAAATATTCCATTCAAAATCAATTTCTAATGGGTTATATTTTAAAAGCAGATTATAGTTTAATTTGCTTACAAAAATAACAACAATTTTCAAAATAACGTTACGAGTTGTTTAAAATGTGATATAACTATAATCTCGCATTTATTATATAATCCATTTAAGAAAGACGATTTAAATTAATAAGATTACTTTTTGGGGTAAAACTTAGGCCAAATTATCGTAAATGATATATATATAATATTATAACAATGGCCTAAAAAACAAATGGAAACTTAATTTAAAGTAACATTCGAATAAATATAAAATAAATTAACCTTTTAACTCGTGCGAACATTTGTTATGAAAAAAAAATAACTAGAGATTCGCTGGGTGAAGGATTCAATGACATATAATAATACCTAGACTGACGATGCATTCACAATGCATCTGAAAGCGTCGTTGGATGCGAATCAGCTGGACCCGCCATTTTGGTAACCCAAATAGTAATTATTCTCATGTCAAAAAATTACTAATTAAATTGGCAACCAGTTTCCTTATTATCTCGATGATCAGGCAATTCTTTAATAAAGTTTGCGTCAGAGGTAGGAATAAATAGGACTGCCGTTTAAAAATTTTAATAATGATATGGGTATTCAAAATGGCATCCCCACCTGTTTTTCATTGAGCTATATACTTTTAATGAAATGCATCGTCAGTCTAGGTATTGTTTTGTTATACGTCATTTAACAATTTTATAAGACTTAATTACAAAAAAGTTATGTTACAATTTAAAATTGTGTAAGAACGAATATAGGTTCCGTGTAGTCGACGGAACGACCTGAGGATATCAATTACCAAAACCTATGCCAATATTTTTTGAGTCTCGATTGATCTTCAAACCGGACACGGGCGGAATTAAAGGTTACTGAGTTATAAGCTGAATAAGGAAGGCGTGAAATTTTGAAGCTGGCGGAAAGACTCGAGGATCAATTATCGAAACATGATCCTACTTTATCTTCAATCAGGACAACAAAGGAATGAAACGCTACTGAGTTAAAAAGCAAAATAAGAAAGTGTTGGCACTTTCGCAAAAAATAAGAATGATCATGTTCCGAAACTTGGCAATTATTTAGTATTCAATTTGTAATTTAATATTCTCCTAACCGGATATGCGTATTATTAACCGTACCCGAGTTACAATCATTTTATAAACGTGAAGTTGGAATTGCTTGAAGAAAGTGAAGATCAATTACCGAACTTTTACCAATGTGTAGCCCGTTAATTGATCCTCCAGAATCTTTAAACCGAATACCAGCGGAACGAACCGCTCGTGAGTTATAGACTAAATAGAAAAGTTTTGGCATTTTGCCAAAATACTTTTAATAAATATTGCCAAGATACCAATTTATTCATACTACAAATAGATGTTACAGGGACCTTTGTAAAAAAAAATATGTCGATCATATGATCAAACATCTGGGCATATTTTTTTATACATAGGAGTAATCGATTTAAAAGTAAAATCTGGGCAAATATACCTGTAGTTCAGATGTTATCAGAAGCCCATGATATTAACCACATTTCACATTGGCTGAATGTATGGGTGCATCGAGGTGCTAAAATAACAAAAATAGTTGTAACTGATCATTCATTAGCTTTATTGGGGGCTGTTGCCAGATCACTAGAAAATTTTATTGATCTTAAGTCATATATTGAATATTCATTTAATATAATATTAGGCCAAAAATTGCAGACTCCTAGGATTTTTTATTAGAATAGATTATGCTCATTGTATCAAACTGATAAGTAGATGGCCTAGTTTATATAAAAAAAAACCTCGTTTATTTAGAGAATTTTATATTCGTTCCGTTGCTATGCTAATAAAATCCGCTACCTTTACAGAGGCGTAAATGTTAATAGAATCCATCCTTATTGTATGTAATAGTGAATTTTGTGGGACCGAAATTTGTCCCGACATTACACTGAATGCTAAAAAACAAAGATGATCACTGGAATGGAAGAATTAGACATTAGTAAATTAGATGAACTTGAGGATGAAATAATCATTAATTTGAAATGTATCTAGGTAATATTATTTGCTGGAAATAAAAAAGTATTAAAAAATAAAGCCATATCTAAAATGTATCATATTGAATAAAAAGAAAATTAATTTCTATAACCCATAAATAACTAAAAAAAAGTATGTAATTTATTTTAAATACCTACCCTTTATGGTCTAGAATAACGCAATCATATTAACAATTATGGATGAGTTCTGCGTCAAATGTTTGAAAGTTTATTTTAATAATTTGAAAGATACAACATTTAAGCTCACAATTTTACCTATGTATACCTAATGATAAATTGTTCCGCAAACATTTTGATGAGATGAGAGGATTGCTAATATCATTAAGGAAAAGGATAGTATGTTACTTTATCTTCTACTTCTTCCCATTTGCAATACATCTTCGTCGACACTTTTTATCGCAGATAAAATATCATCGCTATATTTAAAAAATATAAATTCTCTATTTCCTCGTGGTATATAATAACAGTGTCCTTTTTCCTGAATTATATAAGAGATACGGGACGCTTCAGCGATATTAAGCAACCCTGTCATTTAATCGAAATGTTTGCAAAAAAATTTGTCGATAGTCACGCAATAGGCAACAATTACGAATTTAAAATTTTCTAATTTTCCAAATTTATCATAATAACACCCAACATTCGATGTATATAGCTGTAGCTTGTTCATAATAAGAAATGTGGTTGCATAATACTGGATCATAAAGGAATAGAGATCTTTAAAAAAAAATTAAGTAAATTTATACTTATTTCGGTGGTTATGGAAATAAATCTCTTCGTTCAAATGATATGTGATACATTTTTAGATATATGGCTTTATTTTTTAATACTTTTCTATCCAACAATTAGATACATTTGAATCAATGATTATTTCATCCTCAAGTTTGTCTAATATATTAATGCCTAATTCTTCTATTCCAGAAATTACATTTTTTTTAGAAATTTTTTTAGCATTCAGTGTAATGTCGGGACAAATTTTGGTCCCACAAAATTTACTATTACATACAATAAGAATGGAGTCTATTAACATTTCCGCTTCTTTAAGGGAAGCGGATTTTATTCGCATAGCAACGGAACGAATATAAAATCCTTTAAATAAACGAGGTTTTTTTATATACAAACTAGGCCACCCACTTATCAGTTCGATACAGTGAGCATAATCTATTCTAATAAAGAAAATTCTAGGAGTCTGAAATTTTTGGCCTAATATTATATAAAATGAGTATTCAATATATGTATGACTTTAGAACAATAAAATTTGTTAGGGATTTAGCCACAGCCCCCAATAAAGCTGATGAATGATCAGTTACAACAATTTTGGGTATTTTAGCACTTCTATGCACCCTTACATTTAGCTAATGTGAAATGTGGTTAATATCACGGACTACTGATAACTCTGCGCTACATGTATTTGCTCAGATTTTGCTTTTAAATCGATTATTTCTACGTATAAAAGAAAAGTATGCCCAGATGTTTAACACTTTATTTTGCTTATAACTCAGCAACGTTTCATTTCGTTGTTGTCGGGATAGAAGAACAATTAGGATGAATTAACGGGCTACACAATGGTATATCTTTCGGTAATTGATCCTCAAGTCGTTCCGCCAGCTTCTAAATTTCACGCTTTCCTTATTTTGCTTATAAGTAACTAACCCTTAATTCTGCCTATGTCCGGTTTGAGGATCAATTAAGACTCTAAATTTTGGCGTAGGTTCTGTCAATTGATCCTCAAGTCGTTCCGCCAACTTCACGGACCTAACATATATACACCCAAAAACTGCCATTTATATATTTTTTTTTTAAATTTGAGCTGATCTAAATAATATATGTATATCTCAAAAAAGCTCTCATCAAAAAGAAAACTAAATCTTGCAAAATTTTGTTTGGCCAAAATTATTTAAGGCTACCGAAAAATCCAGACTGTAAAATCATTCACAGAAATCTCGTCAAAATGTCTAGGAACATGTCTAATATAACATATTGCTCTTTGGTTATAATCAACTCATCTTAAATTTCGTATGCTCCTTATATGACCGGTGACAAACTGATGCAATAAATCTAATACCAGACGTAAGAAAAATATACTATACTATTTCCAATGACATAATAATATCTAGACACTATGCATTCTAGTCGTTGAATGCAAATAATCAGGACCCGGTCTTGGTAACCTATAAAGAATTAATCTCATATTAAAACCAACTATAAAATTGATAACTTGTTTCCTTTATTATCTGGATGATCAGGCAATTCTCTAATAAAGTTCGCGTCATACATAGGAATAAATAAGCCACTCGTTTAAAATTTTTTAAATAATGATATGGGTAACCAAAATGGCATACCCAGCTGTTTTTCATTGATGTTACACTTTTAATGAATGCAATAATCTAGGCAATTACTATATGTCATTGAGTACGTCACAAAAAACAGAGCCAAACAAATAAACTTAATGGTATTAGCCACAAAACCTTCCCGTAAATAAAAACAAGTAGTGCAACCTATAATTCTTTATGAAATTCTGCATAACAGAAATATTACTCTTTCTTTTGTTTTTCTATAGTATTAATGTTAGTAGGACAACCATCAATATTTTTTGGGTTACAACCGACCCCAAAATATTGACTTTTTAAGCTTAACCTAATTCCATGATATTTATAAATTTTTAGGCTACTAATTCCTAAAATATTTTTTCTAGGCTTTTCATGGTCCTCTAAACTTTAAATTAAACTCATTTCTATGAATATGAAATGGAGTAAAGAAAGGAATCACCGATTGCTTTGTTCCTTATCGTAGATAAATTATAATTATCATTTAATTTTGATGAAACTGGAATAATTTGCTCTCCTATTCAAAGCTTTATAACTCAGTCAAATGGCGTGTTTGATAAAATAAATCTAAAAATATTTCCATCATATTTCTAATTTACCATCTGATATATTTTGTTTTACTCTCACGTGGGTGTGTGACATTCGTATCCATTATATATATATTTAAAAGGATATCGTAAGTGAAGTCGAAAGATAAACGAACATAAAGACTTACTGATTCTGAAAAAACGCTTCTAAAGAAGATTAAACAAATAAAATAACTTGTATCCTCTCTGATAACTGATATCTATAATAATCAATTTATTATTAATCTTTAAGTTGTATGGATAATAATTAGAGATCTGCAGAGGTACCATTTACTAGGCCCGGATTTTAAGGAAAAATTTTTCAGGCCCAGACTGGATTATTTTTGGCCCGGCCCGTGTACCTCGAGCTTTAGGTCCGGGCCTGTAGGTCTCTGATAATAATTAAATCCGCTATTATTCACAAATATACCATAAGCGTATCCGGAAATTGGCTAAAGAAGAGGGTGCAATTTAATGATCTTTAGGTCGACCTACCCGTAGCCTTCGATTATATCAGATTTTTATACAAATTTTGATATAGTCATTATTTTTAAAAAAGCTATTGATATATTGCATACATTTTTTTTGGAAGAGAGGGGGGGGGGGTGGGTAGGGAGTAGAAGGAAATTTTTTATTAGCTTTAAAACGATATTTAAAGTATACAGGCAAATTTGCGATTGGGATAGAAGGTGGGGGAAGGGGGTTGAAAATTCCACCCCCTGGTGACATGCCTGAAATATACAAATAGTGTTGGGAAGAACCTCGATTAAATTTTAGTCAAAAAAATTTTTACCTCTTCCCCGAGATTGTTTTTTTCTCCCATCTACATAAGAAATCCCGAGGTTTAGTACAATATTTTTTTTTGGGGGGGGGCGAAAACTTTAATTTAGCCGCTTATTAATGAGGCGTACATATTTGGACCACACTATACGCCAATTATACAAACAATGTGTAGGGAAAATATTGTAGAGATCTGCAAAAGTAGGCCCGGCCTGGAACGGGCATCGGGCCGGGTTTCATAATTTAAAAAAATTCGGGCCGGGTCGGGTCTTGGAATTTTTTTTTAAACATATCTATATTTATCAATTTTATATTGAATTTTTTATGCAAAATAAAAATATTTGATATTTATTCATAGAACTAGACGCCATATAACATATGTCTTTTATTTGCCCGATGCAGATCACTAATTGTTTAAACCAATACCCATACAATATATAATGCACCAGCCAGTGGCGTAGCTACGGGGGTGGTTTTCGGGTTTGGACCCCTCCCAGAGCAATTTTTTTTTAGATTATACGTTCAAAAGACATAAAAGTGACTTTATATCAAATAAATACCATTAATATTTATATTTTTCTGGTTTTGATGTTTGTGGAAGGATATTATATTACTATTGAAATTATTCTGAATAGTATTATTATAAAGTCATTTGAGTATAATCTACTAAATTATAACATATTATTGATGCATTTAAAAAATATATTTATTATATATTATCGAAGATATGGTTATGATTTGTAAAATAAACCTGAACAAAAGGGCCGAAGGCCCGTTAAAGGGGATCTGGGGGGCATCACTCCCCAGGCTTTTATATGTATGGACCCCTTCTAAGGAAAATTCCTAGCTACGCCACTGGCACCAGCCCTTATATACATATATACATATATATAGAATAATTACTTACGTGGCCAATCCTCGGAATATAAGGACGTTTGTTGGGTAGTATTTTATCCATACCTAAAAATAATAATCGAAAAAATAATTTAGGGATACTTTATGTGGATAAGCCTCTGATCATTCTCTATATATTGATTGGTTGAGTAACTACTTTTATATATCACCTGATTAATCCCGTTTTTTTTATTGTTTTGACAAAAAAGATTATTTTATAAATATTATAATTGACCAATCAGAGTAAACCTGGAAATCGCCATTAAACGGAGAAGAATAAAAATATATAATATTTGACGTGAAAAAAAACATATGTTTAAAAAAAATCACTTATTTCTTTTTTTGTTAAAATATGTGGAAGATATTTTTTTTTGCATTTTAAAAAAATCGTGAATTTATAGTGCGCAAGCGCAACTAATGGATTACAAATGGCCTCGTGCAAATTGGTAAAGTTATCGTTTGGCTTTAGCAACCATTTTATAATAAAAATGTAAATATAAATAACTTATTTATACATCCATAAAAAAAAGAGGAATATTTTAGAAAATTAAAAGAAATAAAGAAGGCAGACGATAATATAATTTTCAAAAGACAAATTCTATTTTTATTTTAGAACTTATTTTAAAATTTAGAATCGACGGATATTTATCAGGGATTGTGGACCCTTCGACATAAAAAACGGTCCAGGTCCGGGTACAGGAATAAAATTTGAAAGGGCCCGGGTCCAGGGAACATAAAAATAGTAAGATTTTTTTTAAATTCATTTATTATTATACTTCAATAAATACATATTCATAATTTAAGAATGAAAATTTTTAAAATGAAATAAATTTATATTTTAAATGTTTTATTCTCGCACAATCATCATAATATCTTGTAAACAAATATCATTCTTGAGATTTCCACGTAAAGTAGAATATATATATTTCAAAGATAAAAATTCACGTTTCTACCTTTATCTATTATCTATAATAGATGGATATCTTTATAAAATTATTGTACTTGTAATTAGTGATCTGCATCGGGCCTAATTTTTCAAGCCCGGCCCGGTCCGAAATTTTTTTAAAAATATTAGGCCCGACCCGAACCCGGGCCTAACTTTGCAGATCTCTAACTTGTATCGCCGGTACAGCCATGAAGATTCTAGATAAGATATATAATTCTGGATATATTGAAGAAATTTCTTCCCAGAATTTTAAAATATTTATATCCTTATTTATTCTCTTAACTTGTGAGAACTTTACTATTAAAGATGCAATAGGCATTTTTTGATCCTCCTTTCTATCTGGTAATAATTGAATTTTTTTCTTCTCTATCTAAAGGTAAAATTTCAAGATAATCAATGTTGCTAACATTATTATTATCACTACAACCAATAGGTATTGCCGTAGCCTCCAATATATTGTAAATAATGGAGTTTTGCTTATGCCATAAATCCTTAAGATGGTCTTTAGCCTAGTGTTGTTAATTTGCTTGGTCGTAAAATTTACGACCAAATTTTGTGCTCAGGCAGACCCGGGGTCCAGACCCGAGGTTCATATTATTTTTATATGTTAAATTTTTTATTCCGGAATCTAGACACGGGGTTCAGATAAATGTAAAGTAAGATAAAATAAATCTCATATCTAATCTTAAATTAAATTAATATTATTATACCTTCTAAATCAATAATTTAAAGCTTTATTTTATTCTCATTTTTCTTACCATTTAAATATTTATAATTTTGGGTGCTTTTGATTGGAATTTGTTAAAACATTCACAATCCGGGTTTCGACCCAGGGTTCGGGCTCAGAGCAAGCCTGAGCATAAAATTTGGTCTTAAATTTTAGGACCTAGCATAGCAAATTAAAACAACACTAACTGACTGACTGAGACTGACGCTAACATAACATTTAAACTTAACCATATTAATATTATATATATTTAATATTTTATCATTAATTTATATTTGAATTTGTGTTTTAGAAATTGCCAATATTTTATAAATAGTCACTATTTTTCAGTGTTGTTCTTGTTGTGTTTGTGTTGTCTTGCTTTTGACTTGCACTTATGCGTGACAATTTAATAAATAAAACCCATTGTTGAGATAAAAATTTTTGTTTGTAAAATTAATTATAATAAATAACACAATTATTTAAAAAGATATTTAACTTTACTTAAATTAACTATATAAATTGATTTAATTTTTTTTATAAATTGCAAATGTTTTATTTTATTTATTTTTCATTTCTTAGTTATAAATATCGTCAATTATCTCTTGAACACTTTATTTTTAAACTTTGCCATAATTATTATTAACAATCAGCATGCTTTAACTAAATTTAATATTTTGACAGAGTTGAAAGGCCGAGCGTAGAAAAATATTGTTCTTAGAAATATACCATTACCCCTCCATTGATATAATAGTTTTTCTTTTTTATTAATTTTAATGACAGCTTATTAAGCTTGGTTTTAAAAAAATATTTTATTTTGATTTCGCGGCTTTGTCCACGTGAAAGAAACGTATGCATATATTTATGTATATATATACTAAATAGGGTGAAGTACTAGTAGAAATAAATTTATTTTTAAAATATTGTTGGAAGCTGCGAGCTTATTTCAACCGTTATTTGATAAAAAGGCTTTAGAAATTCTTCTAAATTTGAGAAGAATTCTATATTCTCAGGAGCCAAATCGGTTTCAATTAATCCAAGCTCACTGAGATCTTGTATTGCCTTGATATTCTATAAATAGATATAAAAAGAAATAATATTATAAATATACAAAGATATTTTTATTTTATACTTTATTAATGGCTGCTATCATAAGATATACGCTATTCCATCTTGTTTTCACTGGAAGAGGTATTTTTGTAGCCCCATTAAAGGATTGATATGTTTGCAATAACTTAGGCGACACATGTAACCTGGAAACGAAAGCCATTATATTTTTCAATTTATCGTCCAAAAATATGAGGCCCTCATTAACGATTAGGTTTATGACATGGGCCATACAACGGTGACTGTATATCACAGTATTATATTTTAAATAGTAATGTTTTTTTTATAAATTCTGCGGCTTTTACCACGTTGGAGCCATTATCATGCGTAATAGATATTATATTATCACTAAATTCAAAATCGTGGAAAGAAGATATCATGAGTGTTGATATGTCATCCCCCGTATGTGGGTGGGGGAATGATAATAAATCTAGGGCTATATTTATCATATTCCAGTCATCGTTTATGTAGTGAAGTGTTAACGAGCAGAAAGATGAACCATTTTGCGAAGTCCAGATATCAGTAGTTAAGGCATATTTATGTTTGAAGTTTTTTAATTTATTTATAAGTTGTAATTTTGCCATATCATGTATTTTTCCTAAGTTTTTGGAAAGGGTTTGACGACACCATAGTTTAAGATGGCTATTTGTATAACATATCATTTTTTTAAATGATTCATTATCTACTAAACTAAATGGACTATTAGTTTTTATTAAGAAGTTTAAAATGAGTTTGTTCATTATAAGATTCTCATGTATAAGGGGCTTTCTAATCCCGGGCATCGTATCTGGAGTTGTTATTTGTGATAACTCCGTAAATATCGTCGAGCGTACAGACTTGAGGTGTTTCTTCAGATTTGCTTAACAATAAATAAAAATATTATTATGTATTCAATATTTTATTTAATATTTTTGAATTTATGTAAAATGTTTTTTTTTATTATTTTGTGAATTTTCATACACAAAAATACGATTTTATGATAAAATACAATATTAAGTTTAATTTTCTGGCTAAATTATTACTAATAAATGTTAACGATAAAATTTCTTTCGCGCTGACTCCCAAGAAGTCTAGAAAGAGATGTCTTTATTGCCCTGCAATATACAGCTATAATAGTTCACAAAGTTTATTACTTTATATTAATTTTTGAAGTACCTTTATTTTGTCAAGACATGTTGTTACATTTTCTTATTAAAAAATATTTTACCTATCATATTTGTAGTATTTTTGACATACATTTATGAATTATCGTTAACATTTATTAGTAATAATTTAGCCAGAAAATTAAACTTAATATTGTATTTTATCATAAAATCGTATTTTTGTGTATGAAAATTCACAAAATAATAAAAAAAACATTTTACATAAATTCAAAAATATTAAATAAAATATTAAATACATAATAATATTTTTATTTATTGTTAAGCAAATCTGAAGAAACACCTCAAGTCCGTACGCTCGACGATATTTACGGAGTTATCACAAATAACAACTCCAGATACGATGCCCGGGATTAGAAAGCCCCTTATACATGAGAATCTTATAATGAACAAACTCATTTTAAACTTCTTAATAAAAACTAATAGTCCATTTAGTTTAGTAGATAATGAATCATTTAAAAAAATGATATGTTATACAAATAGCCATCTTAAACTATGGTGTCGTCAAACCCTTTCCAAAAACTTAGGAAAAATATATGATATGGCAAAATTACAACTTATAAATAAATTAAAAAACTTCAAACATAAATATGCCTTAACTACTGATATCTGGACTTCGCAAAATGGTTCATCTTTCTGCTCGTTAACACTTCACTACATAAACGATGACTGAAATATGATAAATATAGCCCTAGATTTATTATCATTCCCCCACCCACATACGGGGGATGACATATCAACACTCATGATATCTTCTTTCCGCGATTTTGAATTTAGTGATAATATAATATCTATTACGCATGATAATGGCTCCAACGTGGTAAAAGCCGCAGAATTTATAAAAAAAACATTACTATTTAAAATATAATACTGTGATATACAGTCACCGTTGTATGGCCCATGTCATAAACCTAATCGTTAATGAGGGCCTCATATTTTTGGACGATAAATTGAAAAATATAATGGCTTTCGTTTCCAGGTTACATGTGTCGCCTAAGTTATTGCAAACATATCAATCCTTTAATGGGGCTACAAAAATACCTCTTCCAGTGAAAACAAGATGGAATAGCGTATATCTTATGATAGCAGCCATTAATAAAGTATAAAATAAAAATATTTTTGTATATTTATAATATTATTTCTTTTTATATCTATTTATAGAATATCAAGGCAATACAACATCTCAGTGAGCTTGGATTAATTGAAATCGATTTGGCTCCTGAGAATATAGAATTCTTCTCAAATTTAGAAGAATTTCTAAAGCCTTTTTAACAAATAACGGTTGAAATAAGCTCGCAGCTTCCGACAATAGGGATGGCGATATTGTTTTTCAACGATATTCTGGAGAATTTAAAAAATCAAGAAATACGTAATTCTGATGCTTCAATACGAGAAGCAGCAACATCTATGATAAAAAAATATGACGAATATAGCCAGCATATTTTAACACCAAAAAACTATGCTGCATCAATACTGGACCCTAGGATTAAAAATACATTAATCACTAATTTAAAGGAAGATGCAGCAATTAAAAATATGGCTATATTCAAAGGTATTTATTCAAAATATACGACGGAGCCATTTGATGAGTACTCATTCAATAATAATAACAATCCTTCCAACCTTAAAACTATTTCATTATTGCAGGGATTGAAAAGAAGGTATATTTGTAATATAATACATTTTGATAGAATTAGTTTAAATGATATATTCTATGATTTTTATTTATTTTAAATTTATCTCTTTAGAAAAGTATCATCAAATGGCGATAGTGACAATCAAATAAACACCTATCTTCTTGAGCCGGTAGCGCCCGAGACAACTAACGTGCTAGATTGGTGGAGAGGGAATGAAAATCGATTTCCTCATTTAGCTAAGATGACGAGAGACTTTCTATGCCAACAAACAACTTCCGTGGCATCGGAAAGAACTTTTTCTCTTGCTGAAAATACTATTACTAAATTGAGGAACAGGATAACTCCCTCCACCCTAAAACAATGCATATCGCTATCATCTTGGGATATAAATATAATGGGCCTTCATGACGATATATGGCAATAATTTGTTAGGCATAGTAATAATTTATTTTTTAATAAATAATTATATTTTTCTAAATATATTTAATAATAATTTTATATTTTAAATATTTTTTAGGCTGGATTGTTGTATGTATGATCAATTCAAGTCTATAACCACAAGCAAGACGCATTCGATTCATGTTTATAATATTGCAAAAAATGAAAAAATTATATAAATATAATATTGTATTTTATATTCTATTAAAAATAAATTTATTTCTACTAGTACTTCACCCCATTTAGTATATATATATATATAAATATATGCATACGTTTCTTTCACGTAGACAAAGCCGCGAAATCAAAATAAAATATTTTTTTAAAACCAAGCTTAAGCTGTCATTAAAATTAATAAAAAAGAAAAACTATTTTTTTCTACGCTCGGCCTTTCAACTCTGTCAAAATATTAAATTTAGATAAAGCATGCTGATTGTTGTTAAAATTATGGCAAAGTTTAAAAATAATGTGTTCAAGAGATAATTGACGATATTTATAACTAAGAAATGAAAAATAAATAAAATAAAACATTTGCAATTTATAAAAAAAATTAAATCAATTTATATAGTTTATTTAATTAAAGTTAAATATCTTTTTAAATAAATGTGTTATTTATTATAATTAATTTTACAAACAAAAATTTTTATCTCAACAATGGGTTTTATTTATTAAATCGTCACGCACAAGTGCAAGTCAAAAGCAAGACAACACAAGCACAACAAGAACAACACTGAAAAATAGTGACTATTTATAAAATATTGGCAATTTCTAAAACACAAATTCAAATTAATGATAAAATATTAAATATATATAATATTAATATGGTTAAGTCTAAATGTTATGTTAGCGTCAGTCTCAGTCAGTTAGTGTTGTTTTAATTTGCTATGCTAGGTCGTAAAATTTAAGACCAAATTTTATGCTCAGGCTTGCTCTGAGCCCGAACCCGGGGTCGAAACCCAGATTGTGAATGTTTTAACAAATTCCAATCAAAAGCACCCAAAATTATAAATATTTAAATGGTAAGAAAAATGAGAATAAAATAAAGCTTTAAATTATTGATTTAGAAGGTATAATAATATTAATTTAATTTAAGATTAGATATGAGATTTATTTTATCTTACTTTACATTTATCTGAACCCCGTGTCCAGATTCCGGAATAAAAAATTTAACATATAAAATTAATATGAACCTCGGGTCTGGACCCCGGGTCGGCCTGAGCACAAAATTTGGTCGTAAATTTTACGACCAAGCAAATTAACAACACTAGTATAGTGATTATAGTAGCTGAAGTAAAAAGGGAACGGGTGTCGACATCCAACTTACCGTGAATATGTGATGGGCCCATACGATACCCAACCCCCCAATCCCAGCTATAGCCTGATTATACTAAGATCGCCAAAGATGAATTTTTTATTAGCATTGTCTGTTGGAAGGGGATGTCAGCATTGATGCCCCCCCTCCAGCCCATTCTTTCTCTCTTCCCCCCCCCCCTATATATGTTCACATCGTTCATTTCAACCGTTAAATATAAATATACCTAGATGAAAGAAGGGTAATACTATAGGTACGATATCGCATTCGGAGATTATTCGACCGATACCTAAGGGAAAGCGTATTTTAAAAAAATGTAAATTAAATTAAATAATGTAGATTTATCATTTATTATAAATTATTTACCCCATTTGAATGGCAGGTATTCCTTTTCCGTATTCACTCTACCTAAAATTTAATACGACATATAGAGAGATAAATTTTAAAAATAATATATCATTAATAATTTGGAAATTATTCTTATAACTTTAGAGGTTAGGGCAACCCAGCTCTAAGTTCGCCTAGATTTTTAGGGAGGGGTAATTTGGACCAAATTTTATGACAGTTCCGGAAAACTTGTGCACCATATTTTCACGAGTCGGTTGGAACTCGCCATATTCGTCTCCGCGCCGATGCAAAGTAGAAGACATAATGTATTAGAGCCCGCAAGTTACCCAGAAACTAAATATACTTTTAGGACCAGGCCGGGCAAAAAAATAAACGGGCCGAGCAGGGCAAAACCTTTTTTTTTGTATATATTTATATATATTTGATTAATTCCGATATTTTCAGAAGTGATAATCAATTGTTGTTTATTTTGGTGTTTCAACGGTATATATTTTTAATTTTATTACAAAACTTCCTTTCAACAATCGTGTTCCATTTTGCGCAAATTACTAGAAATTCTCGAGGCCATAATTTGTAGATATATCCTTCCACTGTTGTAGATCCACTATCGTTATTATATGAAATTAAAGATCTTATCAGCTTATTTTATTTTTTATATTCCTTCCTTTCATTTACATTTTTGAATCGATAAATAAGGAAATTTAATTATCGATCAACAAAAGAACATAATAGTGCGCACAAATTGAGTGCAAACGCCGCGTTGCAAGCGCCAATAATGCATTTCAAACGACCTCGCGCAAATTGGTAAAATTACCGATTGGCGTTAGCAACCATTTTAAAAACAAACGCAAATAGGTTTTGCTTTTGCATTACTTATTTTTAATTCTTCGCTTTGTAATATTATATAATAAAAATGTAAATATAAATAACTTACTTATATATCCTAAAAAAAGGAATATATAGAATAAAAGAAATAAGAAGGCAGATGATAATATAATTTACAAAGACAAATCCTTTTTATTTTTAATACTTATTTAAAATTAAAACAAGGGCGGCGTTACGTTTTTTTTTAATTTAAAAATTACGGCAAAACGGAAACGCTCAATTTGTGTGCACTTTAAGGTCTTTAAAATTTATTTTTTTAAATTTAGCGGAATATAAAAATTGTAAATATTTAATGAAATCACTTTTTGTAGTAATCCTTTCTTTAGAGAAGGTTCCAGAAAAAAAAATGTTTATAATCAATATAGCAATTTCACGTAAACTTTGATTCAATAATTTGTAGGTTTTTTTGTTATTTAGAAAAATTATAAACTGAGAATAAGGACCGAAAGCGAGGAAAAGAAATATATATATTATTTAAATAAAATCGAATTTATCACAAAAAATTTTTTTTAACCTAGATGCGCCGAAAGTTTAATTTAGTCTTATATTATTTAAAATAATATTGGCCGCTAGATGGCGTTATAACTAAAAAACAAATTCAAAAGGTCATATAAAAAAAACAATTAACGATTATAAAAATATGGCGCGTATATATAAAATTATTTTTGAAAAAAACACTGAACATTTAAAAAAAAACAATTAAGAGCTTGCATTGCTATAATATGGAACCAGGAATAGCTATGCGATAGCCATCGTAATGGTCTGTTTGAAATAGAAGGCTTCATTACGATCGCGACTTACTGATTTTTCTCCCTAATAATGTGATAAATTTAACCAAAAACACCGAGAGTATATTATTGGTGGCAAGTGGTGATAAAAATAACGTTAGCAATGTCCGAATGAATTTGTCTAATTTTCAAGATTTCTGCCGAAATTTAATTTTATGAGGTATTATGTTGGAACGCGCCGAAAAAAAAATATCGATGCCGTGTAATCCACAAGTGAACCTGAAGACCAGAAGAGAAAAGTATTAGGCTGATACCATCGGGTCTTCTATTGTTGCTAGAGAGTAAAATGATCGCTATTTTTATAATTAAATGACACGTGAATATTCTGTCGATAGAGCTAAAAGAAATTTAGGGATCAGCAATTTACGCCAAACTGATTTTTGGTTCAAGCCAGACAGCTGGTCTATAGAATTAATTAGCGGGAGTAAGGTGAAATATCGTAAATTATTCTAAAGAACTTAGGAATAAATAAAAAAAATTTCTGGGTTTGCGGTTACATCTCAATACCGCGAAAAGTTAAATATTGCGAATGTATTTTAGTGCGAATGCATTTCCGCCAAAAAATAAGAGAGAAAAAAAACATTACCAGGAATGCGTTATCGCAGAAATATTATAATTACACTTTCCGTAGAAAAAGTGTACAAGTAGCAAGTGAATTTGTATTAATTATATCAAGTCACACTATTGCATTCTTGGCAATTTTTACGCGATATTGCATTCGTTTTAATGCTTCCGCGATGATGCAATGCGCGGTATTAATTTCGCCACCATACATTCGCGTTGTTTCGCGATAATACGTTTCGCTATAACGTTTTAGCGGTAAATACAATCTATCGAATTGAGAATTTGAGAGCACACCATTATAGCAGATAAAAAGTTGAATTTAAATATCGGAAGAATGAAACAAAATAACAAAATTTATGTATATTCCTTTTATTCATCTTCATGAATTATAAAATAATAAATTATAAGTAAAAATATTAGAGACCTGCAGGCCCGGCTCTAAGCCCGACAATGGGTGCCGGTCCGTATTTTAATTATTTTAATGTATACCCGGGTCGGGCCTGAAAATTTTATTATAAAAAAAAACCGGGCCGTGCCGGCCCGTATATTTTAAAACTGAAATCGCCATTCATTAGCTTACAAAAATCAAAAATGTCATATTTATTATTAATTAAAATTATTTATTTTTTAAAATTATTTTCTTTAATATTTTGTATATCACGTGTAGAACTCGTGATCTCTGTCCCCAAAAAAAGTATAAAAAGGGATTAGATTTTATAATTATTTTGACTTTTTAAAATATATTTAACCAATAAAATTTGGAGTTGAAAATTTATAAATTTTAGTTTTAAAGTTGGGTTGGTAAATCGAGCGAGTTATAAAATGGCGTTGTACTACTGGTAGACATTTTTTATAGTGTATAATTAATCATAATAAATATAATATATTTTTAAAAAAATCCGGACCGGGCCTGAAAATTTTATTTTAAAAACCGGGCCGTAAATTTTTTTGAAAAAAATATCAAGTACGGGCCGGGCCACGCAAATGGTACTCTCTGCAGGTCTCTGAAAAATATACTAAATTAATCATTATAAAAGATTATAGTTAAAAAAAAATTTTTTTTAGTATATTAGATTGTTGTTTTATTTAATGAATAAATTTGGATCGTCTTGTTATGAAATATGGTTTGTTTTATGTTATGAAAGGATGGCTTGTTATTTGATTCAATAATATCTAGTTTTGTTATTAAGAAAAATTATAAACTGAGAATAAGGACCGAAAGCGAGGAAAAGAAATATATACATTATTTAAATAAAATCGAATTTATCACAAAAATTTTTTTTTAACCCAGATGCGCCGAAAGTTTAATTTAGTCTTATATCATTTAAAATAATATTGGCCGCTAGATGGCGTTATAACTAAAAAAACAAAATTAAAACAAAAAAAGGTCAAATAAAAAAAACAATTAACGATTATAAAAATATGGCGCGTATATAAAATTTTTTTTGAAAAAAACACTGAATATAAAAAAAAACAATTAAGAGCTTGCATTGCTATAATAAACCAGGAATAGCAATGCGATAGCCATCGTAATGGTCTGTTTGAAATAGAAGGCTTCATTACGATCGCGACTTACTGATTTTTCTCCCTAATAATGTGATAAATTTAACCGAAAACACTGAGAGTATATTATTGGTGGCAAGTGGTGATAAAAATAACGTTAGCGATGTCCGAATGAATTTGTCTAATTTTCAAGATTTCTGCCGAAATTTAATTTTCTGAGGTATTATGTTGGAACGCGCCGAAAAAAAATATCGATGCCGTGTAATCCACAAGTGAACCTGAAGACCAGAAGAGAAAAGTATTAGGCTGATAGCATCGGGTCTTCTGTTGTTGCTAGAGAGTAAAATGATCGCTATTTTTATAATTAAATGACACGTGATTATTCTATCGATAGAACTAAAAAAAATTTAGGGATCAACAATTTACGCCAAACTGATTTTTGGTTCGGGCCTGACAGCTGGTCTATAAAATTAATTAGCGGAAGTAAGGTGAGTAAATTATTCTAAAGAACTTAAGAATAAATATAAAAAAATTCTGAGTTTGCGGTTACATCTCAATACCACGAAAAGTTAAATATTGCGAATGTATTTTAGTGCGAATGCATTTCCGCCAAAATATAAGAGAGAAAAAAACATTACCAGGAATGCGTTATCGCAGATTGATTATAATTACACTTTCCGTAGAAAAAGTGTACAAGTAGCAAATGAATTTGAATTTGTATTAATTATATCAAGTCACATTATTGCATTCGTGGCAATTTTTACGAGATATTGCATTCGTTTTAATGCTTCCGCGATGATGCAATGCGCGGTATTAATTTCGCCACCATACATTCGCGTTGTTTCGCGATAATACGTTTCGCCCTAAACGCATTCAACGGTTAATGATTTAGCCGAAAAAATATTCTCTTTAAATGCTATATAACGTTTTAGCGGTAAATACATTCTATCGAATTGAGAATTTGAGAGCACACCTTTATAGCAGATAAAAAGTTGAATTTAAATATGGAAGAATGAAACAAAATTTATGTATATTCCTTTTATTCAACTTCATGAATTATAATAATAAATTATAAGTAAAAATATTAGAGATGTAGGCCCGGCTCTAAGCCCGTTTAGGGCCAGTCCGTATTTTAATTTTTAAAAGTATACCCGGGTCGGGCCTGAAAATTTTATTTTAAAATAAAATCCTCATTCATTAGCTTATAAAAATCAAAAATAAATGTCATATTATTATTATTTAAAATTATTTATTTTTAAAAAATTATTTTCTTTAATATTTATCAAATTTATAAATAGTAGCCTGATTTTATATTATCACGTGTAGAACTCGTGATCTCTGTCCCCAAAAAAAAGTATAATAAAAAGGGATTAGATTTTATAATTATTTTGACTTTTTTTAAAATATATTTAACCAATAAAATTTGGAGTTGAAAATTTATAAATTTTAGTTTTAGAGTTGGGTTGGTAAATCGAGCGAGTTATAAAATGGCGTTGTACTACTGGTAGACATTTTTTATAGTGTATAATTAATCATAATAAATATAATATATTTTTAAAAAAATCCGGACCGGGCCTGAAAATTTTATTTTAAAAACCGGGCCGTAAATTTTTTTGAAAAAAATATCAAGTACGGGCCGGGCCGCGCTAATGGTACTCTATGCAGGTCTCTGAAAAATATACTAAATTAAACATTTTAAAAGATTATAGTTAAAAAAAAAAATTAAAAAATAAAATAAAAAGAATTCTTTATTAAATTTCCCTTGACTAGTTTCTTATTCTTTGATTAGGAGGAAAATTACTTTTTCCCATTTAGCAACCTTATTTTTTTTTAAAGTAAATTTTAAAGACAATCATCTAATTCAGATAGCGCATCATAATCCACTATCCTATAAAATCTTCGTACTCACTTATTAATTAAATATGTCATAAATCACCTCTAATTAGGCCTACAAAAAAAACGAATCGAATAATACTATTATCCGTATTCGATTCGAAGCTACGTATTCATACAAATAATAAAATTATTATCCGATTCGTCGAATATTCGATTCGGAAATTTTTCTAATGCTTATAAACAAATGTGTAATGTTTTAAAATGACACTTTTATGGATTCTACTATAAAACTAATTGTCATTAGCATATAAAAATTTACAGAAAATAAACAAACGATTTTTAAAATTAGAATTGGTTATAAAAAATATCTAAATTAATTTCTCCAATCTAATATTCAAATTTTATTAAAAAAATTTCTAAAAATGTACAATAAATCTCATAAAAAAATATAATTATATCCGAATTAGATAATAACCAGTTTTTTAAGCATTAAGTCCTTCTAATGGTTTCATCTTTCAAAGACATCCAATTCTTCATTATCATATTTGTTCCTATTGAGAACAACCGCTCGCATGAAGCCAAAGATCCCTGACAATATATCAGTTGCCATTTTCGACAACACAGGAAAACGATCCCCATGGAATCTCCACCGTTCTAGCGGACTCTTATTAGAACTGATCCTTAATTCATTTAAAATACGTTTCCACCTCACATATTGATGAGATGTTATTTTTGTTTGAAAATTTTATCCATGTTCGACTGTACTATTGCGCTAACTGATGTTTATATTGTTTTTAGTCTAGGATCTGGTATTGTTGATTTTATAGTTCGAAATATCTGTTAAGTTATAATAATTTTCTATTTTTCTCAATAGCACTGATAGTGTTTATAAAATTGAACCTGCCATTCTTTATAGATGAAAAAATGGGAGACGAAGTCATTGTTATTAGATATAGTACCATTTACTGATTCGCATTCTGGTGGAAATACATTCGATATAAGTAACATAAACAATTACTTGTGATAATGGTAGCTCTAATTCAACTTTCATAACGTAAAAAAAATTCTTCGCATAAATCACCCAACTGTATAATTTCACATGTAACGATGTTTTGCGCATGTACTCAATTAGTAATAAAAGAAATACTTAAAGAAAGTAGACAGCAGGCAAAGTATCAAAATTAAGAACAATCAAAAAGATTATTAGCAATTCTTTTTACAAAGACAAATATTATGCAAAATGTATGCTCCTCCCTACTCTTTCTACTATGAAATATTAAAAATTAGACACATCCATCAGATGGAATAGCTTTTATTTAATGGTAGAAAGAGCTATTAAAATGAGAAGGGCTTATTGATGAAGTTGTGACTCAGATACATGATGATATATCTGATATCGAAGAAAGAAAACTGAGGGAAATAATTCAATTTTATTAACTTATTATTATTATTTTTTATCAGGAATGATTTGGTCTACTTTAATAAACATACAAAACAAATTAAATCGAAGATATATGTTGTGACACATATCCTATTTTAAATCTTGTCATCCCTCTTTATGTCCCTTTAGTGGAACATTTAAATTCATTTGACAACAATTTAATAAACCCTATCAGTGCTATTGACAAAATGGAAAAATTATTATAACCCTAACAAATATTGAAACCATAATAACAACCATATTAGATCCTAGATTAAAAGTGCAATTTTTTGAACAATTACCTGCGTCATCTATTAAAAAAAATTAAAGGGTATATATATAATGGATACAAAATAAAATATAATATCAATACAACAACAGTTAACCCAATAATACCATCATATATGGATAGAATTTTTAAGCAAAATATCACCTTTTCAATATGTGAGGCTGAAACATATCTTAATTAAGTAAGAATCGGTTCTAATATAAGAGTCCGCTAGAACAGTAGAGATTGCATGGGGATCCTTTTCCTGTGTTGTTGAAAATGGCAAGTGATATATAGTCAATCCAAGGATCTTTGGCTTCATGTGAGCGGTTGTTCTCAATGTGAACAAATATGATAATGAAAAATAGAATGTCTTTGAAGGAGGATACAATTAGAAAGACTTTATGTTTAAAAAAATTGGTTATTATCAAATTCGGATATACTATAATCATATTTTTTGCGTATTATATTTTGATGTTTATAAAATGAGATTATTGTACATTTTTAGAAAATTTTTAATAAAATTTGAATATTAGACTAAAAAAATAATTTAGATAATATTATATGAAATCATGTTTTATTTCCTTTATTTTCTGTAAATTTTTATATGCTAATGAAAATTAGTTTAGAGAATCCTTAAAATGTAATTTTAAACATTACATCGGTTCATAATTTTTTTGCAAAAAATAATATATTTTTCAAAAGCTTTAGAAAAATTTTTGAATCGAATAATTATTTTATTATTTTCAATTCGTTTTTTGTAGGCCTAACTATGATATCCCATCTGTAGCTTGATACATTATCAAGCACATTTTATAGTAGTTAATGAACAAATATAGGAAAAAAGCTCAATAATTTTTCTTGCAAACTTTATCATCAAAAATGGAAACACATTTCAGTATTGTGGTAAAATTTATAAAATACAAATCAAAAGTAGTAGTGTTTGATAGTAATGTGCCATAGTCTTATAAATATAGCAGATGATTAGAGAATTCCTTTTATAAAAAAAATCATTTGCTCATAGTTTGATCTCTCAGGAGTGATCAATATATTTAGCTAGAGTAGTGAACACACAACTTTTAAAATAGATAGTAAAGTATCTCTCTATCAAATATACGATAAAATTAATTTCCAAATATGAATGTTAAAAAGTCAAAAATTATATATAATATCTCTTTAAATTGTAATAACTATGTGCCTTACTTTTCAGATTTAAACAATTTATGAATTCGGTGAAATAAAGTTACATATTTTATCATTATATTGTTGTCTTATTTGATTATATACAAATACATTAATATTAATACTATTAAATTATAACATATTGCAATTACATTTGTATAAATGAGAGTATATAAGCCTATTGAAATCAGAAATTTTTGATATTTGTGTGTCAAGTTTTTTTACAAAATTCAGTCAAAATCTAGTTTTTGACCATTAATTAAAGTTTTCAATTAATTAATCTATATATATATAAACAACTAGATAAGATAATAAAATACCTAGATAAGATATGCGCCAAAATATTATATACATATCAAAAAATTAGCAGATCTCTAAAATAAGCTAACTTTTATAGAAAAAAAAATTAATTAAATGACTTTCTTTTATTAAAATCGCTACATTTTCCTTAAAAAGGGTGAGAATTTTATTGTAGGGTTTAGAATAGGATCATCGTCTCCTCAGTGGGGATGTAAAAACCATCTAAAGGGGTTGATGTCAATCCAATTCTAAAAAACTATGCTATAAAATTTCCTAAAAACCTGGAAATCACCAAAGTAGAAGAAGAATAAGGACAAAATATTTTATAATATAAAAATAACCTTCAGGAAAAATGTGAATCCATGAATTCTTATTGATTTGTTCTATGCAAAAGTCAACCCCTCTTTGGTAAACACCATCTCCTCTTACTATTGGAATGACCTTTGAGTGAAATTAAGATTATTTTTTTAAAAAATGTATATTTCTTTTAGAAAAAAAAGAAAAATTTAATTTTAAGAAATAGATCAATCTATTTTGTACTAATCAATAAGATATTAATAGGACCATCAATATTATGCAAAGAGAAGGGGGGAGGGGTATAAGTTTAAATTTTATCTAACCCATTTATTTTAAATGTTTTATATAATATATACAAATGCTATATTAAATTACTACTTTTCTGAATTTGTGCAAAAGTAACTCTAAAAAAAATGAATAATATCCCCCCCCCCTCCCACTTCACTTTTATGGCCCCTCTACAGATCAATATAAGCTTATATTGGTAAAATTATTTTCTTGTTGATGTTTTAATATAAGACAAATGGTCTCAGTGTAAAAACTCTAAATAACATTTAGTAAAATAATTCCTATATAAAAACCAATAATATATTTTATGAATAATAAATGTCTAAATCTTACTTTACCCAGACTAAAAAGTATTTGATGTCTATAGGTAGTAAAAAGAATATCATATGCACCTAATGCCCATCTTATTTTATGAGGAGATAATTTATTCCAGGGTAGCATACCTATTTAAAGTCCTTAAAACACTATTTTGTTATATTAATAAGCATACCCCATAAAACTGGATCATCCATGCAGGAATAATGATTACTAAATGTAATAATTGGTTTTGTTCCAATTTTTACAAGAACATTTTCTAATATATTTTGATTGTGAATTGTAACAGAATTAAAAACGTCTGAAATCACGCATATTTATATAATAACTTATTTTAATATAACTTAACATGGTTTTGCTGTAAATAACTCCCAATTTTAGTACAAGATAACTGCAAATTGACCATATTCGATGAGGTTGATTCTGCTTTGGAAAAGGCCAGCGAAATTCAAAACCACCCATTATTAAGAATGCATGCTTATTAGAGTTTAACAAATGCAGATTTATTACGCCCAAAATTTTATTTTTGAAGATCAAAAAAATATTTAAGATATTTTCGTAAAATAAACTCTACACTTTTTGATATTCAAAAGAGCAAGGATCTTTGAAGTTTTTTGAATTTTGAGAAAATGTTAAACTCTGATGATTATGCTCCAGCTATAAAATTACTAGTATATATTTGCAGAATATGATAATCATACCTAAAGATGTTATGTTAATCATTTTAAAATGCCGAAGGTTACCTGCATACTTGAATATATATGAGTAAAAGGTGTTGGTGTTAAAATTTAACAATTAGGTAGCACATTAACATTATAAAATATGCACTGAAATTGTGGCTTGCCATACTTTTTTAAATTATTCATCAAATCATAGGAAGGAAAATTAAAATATAGTAAATGACTTATTAGATGTATATGATAGTAAATATGTATTAGACAATCGAATTCCTATTGTATAGTGTATATGGTTATTTATTTATAATACGGTAAACGTAAGATGAATATAATATGTATTTATTATTACATATTATAATAGTAATATATGTCTATATTTTGATTTTTGATAACATTATGGTTATCATCTATCCATTAGAAATTTTTTTTTACAGGCTTGATAAACATAATGTTTATTTTAAATGTTATTCATTAAATGTTGAATAGTATTATTAAACCTTAATTAATATTATTATATATAAATATCATTGATAATCTAAATTTTAAATATTATTTATTAAAATTTGAATAGTATTAATAAACCCATTTTAATATTATTAAATATAAATATTGATTATCCAAATTTTAAATAATGTCATTTAAAATAAAAATAAATTAACCTTTATCAATAATAATACAAGATTATTCATATAGTTGGTATAAAAATTTTGTTTTAATTTCCAACATTATTAAAAACTATAATATTTTTATGAAAAATAACATGTCTCTGTGGCGCAATCGGTCAGCGCGTTCGGCTGTTAACCGAAAGGTTGGTGGTTCAAGTCCACCCAGGGACGAATTTTTTTAGGAATAATTTTTTTTTAAATTTTATACAGTATTTTACCATTTGTAATAAATTTTAAACTTAAAAAATTGTGCCAAGTCCATCCAGATAATTTTTTTTTCCTTCTCAAAGGTTCAATTGTGCCCCAAAATCATTCTTTTATTTAAGAAGCACTTTCATATTGCCACCCATATTATCTTGCCTAATGTTACTTGCCTGCCACTAGTGTGGTAAATTAGTTGGTTTTACACAACCACGACCCTGGTTTTTGGTCGAAAAAATGAACCAATACCAAAGCAACCAAATTGGTCGACCCGAGCACAGACCACAGCACCGATCCGAGCACAGACCACAGCACCGATCCTAGCACAGACCAACGCTTTTTTATATTTGGGTGTAGATATGCCACTATGGTTGTATTTTAAAAATGTAAAAATTTTCATTTTATCCATTAATTTTTATATTTATTTATTTTTTTGAAAATTTTTTTTATTTTATATAATTTATTTTTTTTTCTTCATAAATTCATTTTTTAACCAATATAAAATTATATTGTTTTGTTAAGATCAAATTGTGAAATAAAAAAAAAATCATTCAAAAATCAAATCAAATAAACTTCGAAAGATGAATATTATTAAAAACAAATATCAAGTTAGTAATATTTTGCCCGCAAACTATAAGTCTCTGTGGCGCAATCGGTCAGCGCGTTCGGCTGTTAACCGAAAGGTTGGTGGTTCAAGTCCACCCAGGGACGAATTTTTTTTTTAAATTATAAAAATTATATTCACTATTTAAAAAAAAATTTTTTTTTTTATTAATGAACATTTATTAATAACAACTAGGCGTGGCGATGAAATGGCGTCATACAATCTGGAAATTATATTATAGATAGATATTATCTAATATTTTTCCCTTAGTATATTCGATATGAGATTATGTTAATTTACTAATGTATCCAATATAAAAGTATTTTTAAGTCGAAATAATTATTAAATAGTAAATCAAATAAATAACTCACAAAAAAGGAACGTAATATATAAAAGCAAACATTAAAACAATAATAGTTTACCCCGATGAAACATGTCTCTGTGGCGCAAACGGTCAGCGCGTTCGGCTGTTAACCGAAAGTTTGGTGGTTCAAGCCCACCCAGGGACGATTTTTTATATTAGATTATTTATATATATTCACATTTCTTGTTTTTTTTTAAAAAAAGAAATTTAAAAATACCATTTTACCATTCATAACGAATTCTGAACGAAAATTTGTGCAGGACCGTAATGACTTTTTCTTCTCTGTGATTTAATTGTGTCGAAAATTCCACTTCTTACTTTTTAAAATCACTTTTCAGATACTTTTTTTTACCCGTATTATCTTATATTTTCTCCTATACAATACACATCTTTTCTTTTAGAATACTAAAATGAGATTATGTATCAATATCAATTAGAGATCTGCAAAATTAAGCCCGACCCGTAACCGGGCCGGGCTCAGGCCTAATTCTATTTAAATTAATCGGGTTCGGGCCGGACCGGGCCTAATATTTTTAAAAAAATTCGGGCCGGGTCTGGTTAGACCTTGGAAATTTTTTTAAATATAGCGAAATTTATCAATTTTATATTGAATTTTTTATGTAAAATAAAAATTTTTGATTTAATTTATTGAAACTAAACGCTATATAACATATGTCTTTTATTTTAAGTAATTAAAAAAAATTAATTTCTATATTTAAATATTTATTTAAATGTATTTTTTTTTAAAAAAATAGGTTTTAAAGGCGGGAATTGAAGTTTTTGTTCTGTTCTTTTTGGAAAATATTTAAAATTCACCCACCAATTGTTTAAAAATTTTTTTTAAAACCCGCTTGATAACAGGAACTTAATCGAAACCGATTTGCTAAGAGGGGCCCGAACCTGCCCCAAGTTCATTATACACGTGGTTTTATGTGTTGTCCTTAAATTGGTCTCTGTTTGTTCTGTGGCTTCAAAATGCTAAACCAAACAATTTTATATTTTCTGAACCCGGGCTCGAGTTCACATCCCTGAAAAAAATGTTCTACTAAATCCCTAAAAATGAGAAGAGAAGAGAAGAGAAGAGAAGAGAAGAGAAGAGAAGAGAAGAGAAGAGAAGAGAAGAGAAGAGAAGAGAAGAGAAGAGAAGAGAAGAGAAGAGAAGAGAAGAGAAGAGAAGAGAAGAGAAGAGAAGAGAAGAGAAGAGAACTAATTTATTTCTCCTTAATTCTGGGCTTATTTTTTTATAAAATAATATAATTGTAAAAAAATATTTCTAAATATATTATTTTAAATATGGAATAAATTATATGTTCTTTATCGTCGTTAAATAACGCTGTCAAAAGTGCGCACAAATTTAAGCGTTTCAAAAACGCAAACAACACATTTTAAATGCGGTCGTTTAAATTGTAGAGCATTTTTTTTGCTTTAAGACGTTTAACATATTAAAAAATAAAAAATAACTGTTCAAATTTAAACTTAGCTGCGTTTACGTATTTTTTTTTTAAATACCTGCTTTGAAACGCTGCGTTTCTTTCTTTCTTTCTTTCTTTCTTTCTTTCTTTCTTTCTTTCTTTCTTTCTTTCTTTCTTTCTTTCTTTCTTTCTTTCTTTCTTTCTTTCTTTCTTTCTTTCTTTCTTTCTTTCTTTCTTTCTTTCTTTCTTTCTTTCTTTCTTTCTTTTTTTCTTTCTTTCTTTCTCAATTAAATTTTTAAATGAAACGCAGTTTTGATCATTAAATCCAAATATAGTAGTATTAAGGTTTCGCATACCCTTCTCGTTATTTTTTCTTTCTAACCCGTATTATGGAACTGCGACAATCATGTTCTATTCCTGGCGTGTCCTATTCCTGGAGGAATTAATTGGTTATTTTAACAAAACTTACAAGTATGGCTTCATCATTTTGTGTATACACACACACACCTACTTTGAATAAATTCTTTATTAGAAGGAATCATATATATATGTGTCGTATGGGGATTCGGAATCTCTTTTAGATCCTTTACAGAGGGCGATTTAAAAATTTTAAAAATTCGATTTAACCCAAAATGTATTTTTGCAAGTTTAGAGTATTTACACTATAAATTTCAGCCAATTTCAGCCATAGACATTTTAGTATTTTTTTTAATTTACATGAAAAATCCACATAAAAATTAATATAAATTAGAAGTAGTTCTAAGGGTCATAGCAAAATTGGCTGAAATTTATAGGGTAAATATTCTACACATGCTAGGATACATTTCCGGTTAAATAGAATTTTAAAATTTAAATCGCCTTCGGTAAAGGATTTAAGATCGAGAAATTCAGAATCCCCATACGACATATATATATATGCATATACGTCTAATTAAATAAACGGAATTATTGTAGCTAAATATCAGAGACCTGCAAGCCCGGCCCTAAACCCGGCCCGGGCCGGGCGGTTTTTTTTTAAACATATCCGGGCCGGGCCTAAGATTGTTAAACCCGGGCCGGACTTTATAAAAATTTTTACATTATGAGTTAATGGTTATAAGATTATATTATATTATAATATTGGGTGATGGTTAACACTACCTAACACCCACAGATCGATCTAATTATTAATTTCCTGCAAATTTATTCAAAGTATTAATATATTTTTTTATAATTCATATCTAAATTTTTACAACATATTTTACCAAAACAATCAAATAAAGGAATATCTTAAATAAGCCCCAATATTCAAGTATTATTAATATATTTTTTTATAATTCATATCTAAATTTTTAGAATATATTTTACCAAAACAATCAAATAAAGGAATATCACTTCTTGAAGTTTGTAATACCTTTCAAAGCGAAAAAGGAGAAATAAAGTTGATTTTACTTAATATAAAGCATTTTTTAATTGAAAAATTTGTTTTACACAAGTATCATTTTATTTCTCTTTTTCTCTGTCCCAAATTCAAGCAATTACTTATGTAGTCAGGGACAGATCGCAAGATGACGAAAAACTATATAAAAGATTATATTAAATTACAAGAGGCTCAGGAAGTAAATGAAATACCATCGACCAGTCAAATTACGACTTTTGTTAAACAAACTGAATCGTTTTATGACAAATGGGGCGATGGTAATTCTGGTAATATGTCAATACCCGATGATGAATATTATAATTACATAAATAAAAAAATAGATGAAACATCTAAGGTGGATAATTTGTTAGAGTGGTGGGCGGCTCATCAAAGCGAATTTCCAATTTTAGCAAAATTGGCAATTCTTGCTTCAAGTGCAAGCTGTGAGCGGAATTTTTCCACTACTGGGAGAATTCTTGAAGAAAGAAGAAGTAATCTTCAACCTGAAAAGGTAGATATGCTTCTCTTTCTTCATGATAATTTGTGAATTTTTAATATCTTTCTTGAGTATAGGGTTTCGTCAATCATGCTGGTTTTTTACTTTGCAAACTGTCAAATATTTATTGCATTTATTATATTTACCTTGAGTCATGAAAGTTTTTAATCCAACATTTTTCATTATGTTTTTTTACAATATTATATAATACAATTATCTTCTTTTGTTAAAAATTTATATTATAATAAAATGTGCAATTAGATTATATTTTCAAAAGACTATTTATTATACATGCATTTTTTTAAATAGCGATTTATTTTAATTTTATAAATTAAATAGTAAATTAAATACAATATATTATATTCTCAAAATATTTTCCATTTTTATAAATTAAATATTAGTTTTATTTTTTTTTAAATGCCATATAAAATATAGTATATGCTCAAAATATTATTACCATTTTTATGAATATTATTTTTAATTTTATAAATGCAATATAAAATAATAGTATACTCAAAATATCCATTTTTATAAAAAAAACAGTTTTATAATTTTTATAAATTCAATATAATATTCTTCAAAATATTAGCTTTTTACATGTATTTTATAAATAATAAGCGATAATACTCGCTGAAAAATATGGTAAAATACCTCATAGGTGAATTTTTGTATATACCAGGTCGAATATAATTTTA